TGTAAATTCATAATATGGAATGTCAAATCTGCTAATTTTAACCTATCTCAGTTGCGTGTCATTGGAATATTAATGTCAAGGTTGCATGCATGGCATGTTTCGCACTTTCCTAAAAGTTATTCTACTATTCAAGCCATTGCAATTTTTTGTTTTTCTGCTCTTGAATGAGTCAATGGCATACTCTATAGATTATTTGACACAGAAAAAATACACTAAATTTGAAAACTAAGGGTTGTATACCAGAACTCTACTCAATGCTCAAGTCAGGATTTGAGTATGATTTAAAGCACTAGAAATCATACTCAAGTCCTTGCCATTAGGGTCGTATTTCCAGTGCTTGAAATCATACTCAAGTCCTGACTTGAGCATTGAGTAGAGTTCTGGAATACGTCCCTTAGTTGCTGATTAAACAAGATCAAAATTAAGACATACACAGAAATTTCAATAGTAGTTGATAAGGCAACATCGATTGTTTGTGATAGAATGAATGCCATCACTGCCACGCCACTGGCAATCTAATACTCAACTGCCACTGCGACTGGATTCTAGAAGAAGAACAAATATTATCATAATTGCAATATAATTTCAGTGGAGTCTCAATGAAATCACACTAACCAGTGAATTCAAGAAAATTAGTAGATTTGGGGCTCAGAACTTTAAAAAGTAATATTCACCAAAGTGGTTAATACCTGCCACTGAAATCTAGGTATTATTGTAATTCATTCTATTTTTTTTGACGTGTAACAGCAATTAGTTTACTAAGGTGGTGTGTATTTAAAAGTTTTATAATTGTAAGTAATAATTTTAACCAATCTCAAAAGTTTCGCTGTGTTCGTCCTTACACAAGTTTGAGTGAGACAAGATAATTTGTGTGGTTGTCTGGGACTTTATTATTGTTATACCTTCTTTCTAACAAAAAAAAATAATCGAAATCGGTTTACAAATGTCGAAATAATCGCGTAACATATTCCATGTACACAAAAAAATACCGCCATTATTTTTACCATGCGGCTAGATGGACGGGCGACCTGAGGAAGGTGGTTGGCAGCGGCGAGATGAGGCTTATGACCAGCAGTTGGTGTGTAAGTTGATGATGATGGTGATTTTTATCATTCTTTGATTTAAAAGAAAGTTATTATTCACTTCTTGTGTGTTACTTTTGAAATCAAGTTTCAGTTACATATTTTGTCTGATCTCAGGTCATAACACTTTAAAACTCCATGTAATTAATCTTTAATGGTGCACTAAACTGTTTGTTTCATAACCCAACTCTTGCATAATGTTTAATATTGTCGTCATTGTATTAATGATATTAATTAATTTTAATATTGTCTTAATAAGGTATTTACATGTATGGCACTATTAAATGGAGATAATTATATATTTTCCCAATGAAAATAAGAGAGTTAGCCATATAGGGAGTAGTCAAGACTTCCAGCTAACGTGTTTTCTATAAATGGCCAGGAGGAAAAGCTGTGGGAATGGTACAAGATATTTAGATACTGCTATTTTAACAAGTAGGAGTTTAACAAATTCTATGCACAGTTTAAGTTAATAATTAGTGATATATTATCACTTCAATGTCCATGTTAATTGTGTAGAATATGTGATTTATTTCATATTAGCAATGTCATGTTATCACAATTAAAAAAGTCAAGGGATAAGATGACTGTTGCTACCATAAACAATAATAGTATCTATTTTGTACCAAAAATCAACATTTAACTTTTGTATGATTCAAATTCAAATTCAAAATAATCTTTATTTCATAGGTAAGCATCATTACACTTGAAATCGTCACAATAGTTAAACTCTACCGCTCATTCGTAAGGCAGATTCCCCTGAGAAGAATGAGCAAGAAACTCTAGGGGTTGCTCTTTGTAAATAACATTTACAATATTTCTTTTTATTTGAAACATCAGAGATCGAGACTACCTCCATGAGCTAAACGGGTTACTACCACGGATTTTTGTCATCCAAGTACGCAGAAGTTGTATAATAACCTTTAGTATAAAGTTTTTGTTTCACTATAGTTTTAAACCTTGTGAAAGGCAAATTTTGTATATCAACCGGAATCTTGTTATAGAAGCGTATACATTTTTTTCTGATTCTTTTTTTGTTACAAAGGGGTATGTCAGTAGTAGTCTCATTTCAATTTGAAGAAAATATTCCACCACTAAGTTTGGCAAATCAACAGTTGAATTGTTTTATTGAATTTTGCTCACTTTCTGTTAACCGTTTTTAATAAAACTTGGCACATAGATACGTATATCCAATAAAAATGAAATGTTCTGGTGGCCTAGAGTTAATTTGATTATGGAAATGGTAGTCAGATGCTACTTTGCGTTTATGTTCATATAATTCGTTTGGACAAGATTTCCATCTGCGTCTAGATAGTCGTTGAGGAGGCCGCGGCAACGAACACAACGGAAGCGGATGGTACCTCGTCACTGCAAGGTATTTTACTTGGTAGTTGGCCACGACGAAGTATTGAAGTAGGATATGAGCACCTGTTTCCTCCCCCTCCACGCACGCTCTGCATAGAGGGCTGTCCGTCCGAGGGAAAGCAGATAGGCAAAGTTTTGAGGTCAGTTTTTTCGTTTTAAAGTTATTTATTTAACAAATGAAATAGAATACAAATTAACGCCAAAACTCAACAAAACAATGCAATTTCTTATAAAGAAATTGTTATACGGAACTATAAGCACAAATCAAAATAAAGAAAATCAGTAGTGAAATTTCTTGAGGGGCCAATGACCTGACTGGTGCAAACTGACTGACAATGGGTTCGTGTTCTTTTGTTTTAGCTGATTATGTCACTATTTATGAAATCATTGAACACATTTGCCTGAGAAGAAAGCCTCGGCCTGGACCCCCTGCCTTTGCTTTTCAAAATCGTTCAGCTAAAACATGTACCAATAATCTTCACTGCTATCAATCACTCAAATATCTGAGGCATGAAAATTAATGCTTTCGTAAATTTCATGTGTCAATTTGGCACAGTATGATATGTGGGTGATCATAACAAAGAATGTGGGAGGTATAATGATGGGTTGCTCAAGGACCTACCAAATAGATGCAGATAATGAGTTGCATTTTTTTTTAAGTTCTGGTCGAATAAAAATGTAAAATAAAAATAACCTTGTCAAGTTAAAAAAAGAGTTTCTGTTTACTTGTTTATTAGATTATGAGCGAAACATGTGTATTAATGATTCAGCAAGGACAGTTATTTTTTGCTTATTCCCAGTCTGATTGTTGAGTGGTTTTTAATCATTGTATGGTATTGGAAATATCTGATGTTCAAGACTGATTTTTTTAATAAGATCTGTATTTTTATCATTAAACTTGAAATTTATTTTATTCACTTTCAATGACAGCAATAAACAAACATTAATTGGGATTTTTTATTCCATTTGTTACCAGTGGTAATGACAGGGATATTTTAATTTTTAGCAGAAGGAATGAATGGCATCGAGATAAACCCCTAGTAGGGTTGATGGTGCTTTACAATATTTATGTATACTTTTTTATTAAAACAATAAAATAAATAAAAAAAATAAAGATGTTACGGGAAGCGTTGTACCAGGAGGATGAGCTTTGTGTGAAATGTGCAATCCAAATTAATGATTTGGGGTCTATGAAGTCATCCCTGTCTCCAGTTGCAAAACAACCGCATTTGCTACCTCTTTGCCGTCTATGACGTCATGTCGTGCGAACAGCGAAATCCACTTTGTTCCTCTTCAACATTTAAGACATTCACATAGTTCTCTACATACTGCACTATTTGGAAGACTAAGAGTTTTGAGTTATATATGTATAATGCAGCTGTCAGTATTAACCTTTAGTCAGGTTTATTTTGAACTGAGAGATTATAGTTTCACCCTGACAGATGGAAGTATGCCAGCCTATGTTCAATTTGTAGTCAAAACTGTGTTGCACAGCATATACACCAGAGCCTACATTAAGCCCCATCTTTGACCGCTTATTCCCAGTCATCATCACTGGCTTTGTTCCCACTGGCAACAAATGGGGAAAAAACCCATATGTTACCAGGTCACCACCTGGTGAAACGGAGATAACAAATAGAATTTAAAACACACTATTTGCCTGTTCAGTCTGTATTTTTATTCCATTTGTTACTACTGGCACCTCCTGGGATATTTTAAATTCCATTGGATAAAGCCAGTGACGACGAATGGGAATAAGCGTCTTTGATCCATTTCTATATTCCAAGGTGACGTTCAAGCCACACTGGTTGGAAATTTTCTGAAAAGCATATCATCAGCCTTCAGTCCCAGTACAGAAACCTTGGCCAACCCTTAAACCTATACCGATACCATGCTAAACATTCAAATTCATTCATTCATTCACAGATCTTGTACCATTACGCTCTGGAGGCAATATGTAAACAAGTGTGTAACTGTTGACTGTTATACTAGAACTGGCCACCTGCTACACAAAACATGAATGGGAAGTAGATTCAGACATGTACCAGTTGAGGTGGTTACAAATAACCTAATGCATAGACAGTCTTATACTCGAAAGTACATTGAATTAAAAGAAAAGTTGTGCATCTCTCCGTACATAATTATAATGCACTTTTTAAGAATGTCTAAAAATAACAAGATGCATTAATGTTTTATTTTAATTATAAGTTTATTTTGATAAGGCATTATTATATTTTGAGTAATTACATTTCGTGTATTGGCCAGTGCAGACAGGCAAATGTAAATATCAACAGTAAAAATGTGTTACCAGGGTGATGGTTATAGAATGTGGGGTTTTCTAGAGATAACAATTGCTATCAAATTCCTTCAGCTGTGACCTAATAAGATATGTATATACAGCTTATCACCAAATTAAAATTGGTTACTAATGTGCAGGTTTATAAAATTAATTTATTCCAGTTCAACAATTAATGTCAAGTGTGCATTGTTATATGAAAACATATGTATGTCTCTTGTTCAAGAAACTGGTAAAGTAGTTTAATGACAACTCACCATTAGAACTTTTCAGGTCTCGATGTATAAGAGATATAGGTGCGTCGACGTGGAGATACGCCATGCCGCGCGCGACCTGGATCGCCCAGTCCACCAGTATGCCAGGCCGGATCTTGCGGCCCGACAGTACACGGTTCAGTGGCCCACCGCGAGCGTACTCCATCACTAGACAGAGATTCGGCTCCTCGAGACATACGCCCTTCAAAGATACTATATTCTCGTGCTGCAACATCCAGAACAACTTGGCCTCCTGCAGCACGCTCTCCTTGATCACCTCGATGTCGTCACTCGCGTCCTGCCGCGCGGCTTTGACCGCCACCACTTCATCGTTCCAATAACCACGATACACTTTCCCAAAGCCTCCGACACCGATAACCTCCTCTAGTTTGAGCTCGGAGAAGGACACCCACGGTGGATTGACGGCTAGTGGGTCCTCCTCAGTCACGTAGACTGATGGGAAGATACCGACGCGGTCCCCGATCTTGCCTGTCCACCAGCCGTCGTCGCCGGAGATGTTGGCGTCTTTTGAGAGCACCTCTATGATCTCCGCACGCCGCAGCGACAGCTCATCTTCGCCTTGCGCAACATAGTCGTACACAGCCGTAACCAGAGTCAGCGGCGGGTGTTCGTCGTCGGCCGCCATGGCCGCTCGGCCGGCCGCGGGCCGCGGCGGCATCACCCCGGCCGCGCCCGCATCGCGCTCCGCTCCACTCACGCCCGACACTGCTGCAGCGGCCACCCACTATCGCACATTACTACACACAACAAAACACGTTTGGTTATGATCACCGTATTATTCCGCCATCTTTGTTTCCCACATCGATCATGGCGGTGTTGTGTCCGCTTGTTCACTAAGAAAGATTCACTGATTTGTATAATCACACGCGGCGACGTCTATAGAGAGGTTTCAAAATGTGGTGGTTGCGATAGTATCAATTAATTTCCATTCATTTATCACAATCCGATAAACAGACGAAATGACAACCATACCACAACGAAGTCAGTGACAAATTGACAATCTGTGAACAGTGCTGCCATATTTTACGAAATACTGTTGACTGGAGGTGGTAGTATTTAATGAATTAAAACGGTACACTCAGCCACAGGCTAAACATACAATCTATTAACATTATTATCTCCATTGACAAAATAATATTTTGTAAATATTCAACAAATAAGTTTTATTGATGTATACCTTTACTTTTGTAAAATACTCACTGAAAGAATACAAATATCATAGTATTGCAGGCAATCAGCTTACTAAATTATAAAATATGAAATTTTACGTATTTCCAGCGAGTCTATAAAAAATACTGTCCATCAATGAAACATAATTTTTCTCTAAGATCTATTCAGGTTTTCTATAGCTGGGCACCATTTCAAGTCTTCTGACCGTCCAAAAAGTCACTCACACAGTAGGTAACCGTGGTAACGCTTAGAGAAGTGCACGAGTAATTATAGGCACACAATTAGATCATGGAACAAACTCCAGTAGATCGGAAACGATAGTCGGAACAACTAAAGTCCATACATGTCTCTACAGGGAATGCTAAAACTTTATTACGAAATAAATGTTCAGTAGCTGAAAGCCACAGGTTTTGTCTCTTTACGTGCATAAAAACTTTCTTCAAAACATTATGTACTTGTAAATGCCGCTGACCTTTGTGAAGGGGACGAATTAGTTGGGCGCCTTGAGGTGAGCGGCACGCCTGTCTGTAGTAGTTGCAGTGTCACTGTCGGCAGTCCCAGTTGGATTTATGCGATTTAAAGCTCAGTCTTCTCACTACGTCCGTCTGAGAGCATAAATATAATCTATCTGAACATAATTAGGCAGGGCCAACTTCGCGAAAGAGGTCAAACGTCGAATCCGACTCGGTTTCGGAGCTTTCGGAAAGCTCCGGGACGTCTTCTCGTCCGCAATACGGCAGTCCTTGAAGACAAAAGTGTTCGAGCAGTGCGTGTTGCCAGCGATGACCTATGGCTCTGAGACGTGGTCACTTACTACGGGCCTCATAAAAAAGCTCAAAGTCATTCAACGAGCTATGGAGCGAGCAATTCTCTACGTGATCGAATCAGAAATGAGGAGATCCGTAGAAGAATGACAGTCACTGTCATAGCTCGAAGGATTAGCAAGTTGAAGTGGCAGTGGGCAGGGCACATAGCTCGTAGAATTGACGGCCGTTGCGGCAGAAAGGAACCGGAAGGCGTTCAGTGGGGCCCCCTACTAGATGGACGGATGACCTGGTAAGGGCGACGGGTAACCGATGGATGCACGTTGCGTCCGATCGGCTGGTCTGGAAATCTTTGGGGGAAGGCCTATGTTCAGCAGTGGACGTCTTCCGGCTGACAAGATGATGAACATAACATAATCTAAGCGCTGCACAAAGTTCGTAATACATGTCGTATCATGTTGCGACACGCCTGGAAGGGATTTCTAGATATTGTTAGACATTTCCAGAGCAGAAGGCGATTAAATACTTTAATTTCAGAGCTAATACTACGAAGTGTTATTAATTTTTAAAAAGCAACAAATTTATATAAACAATCAGCTGATATTCATATGTAGAACTGGAATACTTTTCATTAATTCATAGCAAATGACATTCATATCTTTGAACAATTTTTATTTTCATTAGATATTAGTCTAACCTCTTTTTAAATTGAATGGAATAGAATTAAAAAGGAATTTATTAAATAAATCTGATGAATTATTATGGGTACTTATTTCTAATGCTAGTTGTTGATTTTAATGAAATGTAAAACTTGTTCTTATACCACGTTAAAAATAAAAGTTGTAACTTTGCTTATAAAATAATATAACGAAGATCATCATGTTGTTAACTTTTATAGTATGGTGCTCGTTTATTTATTTCAAGCTCAGCAAATGCACAGCTTGTCTCCTTTGTGACTGAACACCCTAATATTTAAGCTTAGGTCTCATTCTTAATAATAGTTTAATTTTATGGAATCACCAGTAATGGTATTCTATTCTGCGCATTAGAATTAGTAAATTTGATATAGGCTTTAATTGGCAATATTTTATTTATTTATCTGCCATAACGCCTAGGTGGCGCTAGTAGTATTGATAATGTTTTGGTATACGACGCCATCTACTAGACATTGTAAAAACTAAATGAAGCGCATCGTAAATATGTACTAATTCGTACAATACTGGTATAGTGAGCATGCGTGCTTTTAATCGCTGTTATAAAAGTTATTTATTACATCAGGTTTATGTAACAAATTCATTTATATTAAAACTAAATAATATAAAAAAATATTAGAAACCTATCTATTATTTCACAATGACTGCCAAGAGGTCCCATGGTGTAATGGTTAGCACTCTGGACTTTGAATCCAGCGATCCGAGTTCAAATCTCGGTGGGACCTTCCAATGATAATTGGATTTTTTATATTTTTAAGCTTTTTTTTAAGGCTAATTCAATACCTAAAACTTTTGTATGTTAGTTGTAATACTTATGTTTGTTTAAACAAAAAATATAGCGTTATCAGAACGGTCGGAATGAATGTACAAGTCCGAAGGGATGCTGGGTAGGGGAGCATTATTGATCGAGTCAAAATGGGGTGGTAGATATAACCACTCGCGGCGAACACTCAGCCCGCGGACGTGCCGTCGGTTTACAACCATAGAAAACACAGAAAAACCAATTTTACTACCTAAATTAATCAAAATCCTGTTTAGTTTATGTGAAAAATCATCGCGAAAACTGATAATACTGACAAAATCCGACCGAGTGCAATAATGAACGGGCCAACCTTAAAATAACGTGACATTTCTAAACTAAATGCCTAAAGAAATCGCGCCAATACCTCCTGAATACGCTTAAAATGTAATATTGTCCTATAAAACCTTGTGATAATAAGTAATAATGCCTTTTTGTGTCGTTTTTGGTGTCGATTGTCATTGAGGAGCGGATTTACGGGGATGGCGGATTTATCGAAGCCCGGGTGAGATCGGAGAACATTGGCAAAATGTTCTGCTTGAATATTATAATCGAGAGTGAATGTAAATGGTGCTGGAGGAAACGTAGGGTTTTGGGGACCTTTATAAACTTTGCATAGTTGTAAAAGCTGGATGTATTAGTGGTAACAATGAATTCGTTCAACGCGCCCACAACCCAGATAAATGCGGTGGATAAGAACAACACCACTGTTAAAAGCAAATCGGTGGACCTGGAGGGATATGTCATCATCGTAGTGCAGACTAAGGACAATAAAATCAAGCTATATGGTTAGTATTTCTTTGGTAACAGCTTGAATAAATGAAAGACTGCCAGAGTGATGAACTACCTGTGACCTGAAAACTTACCACTTCCAAGAGACGGCGTAACATGCAGATAATAATTCCCTGATGTTTAGAGCATTGATTGCCTTATCTATTAGAATTGCCTGTTAGGTACGCGAATCCAAATTTATAAATTGGTTGAATACAATATTTGCTATTTTTTGTTAACAGGCAATTTTTCGATCTTCAAATTAAATTAGTACGAAATTTTATGAAGTTTAAATTACTCATTGATTAAAAATATACTGAGTTTCATTCAGCGTAAGCTTTAAAATAAGAAGTGATATGTGTTCTGTTAGGTAATCTACTTACTATACCTATATCTTTCTTCTACTTTCTGGAGAGGTGAAAGGTTTTGAATGAATAAATGAGTGAATCAATCAGGATAATAGTTTTTCTACCTACTTGCAATAGTTGATTGATAGCAAGTACCTACTTACAAATTTTCCTGTTTACAGTATATTATTATACGTAACCAACTAATTTACAGCGACCGTACAGCGATTCGTTAAAGTGTTGACTCAACAATACTATAACCTAATTAAAAATGTTACTATTCTTAAGTACTGTTTATATTCCTTATTTTGTTAAATTACTCAACGTGTAGGCGTGATCGGTATATATGTACATATGTAAAATAAATACGAAATAGGAAACATTTGGAAAAAAAAGTTAACATTACTAATTTGTCACCATTTCTTAAGAAAAAAAAACCATACAAAACATACTATCCACCTTGGTGACGAACTGGCAGGTTCGTCACCAAGGTGGATAGTATGTTTCTGTAGATACATCTCCCTTTTTATTTGTAACAGAATAGATGAAACATGCTTCGACCAACTCTAACGGCCTTCCAATTAATACAAACGGATAAGAGTGAAATCACGAAAAACTTTCTAGGTTAGGTAACACATTTATAAACGAATTTACGTAGGTATGTTTTTTTGCTAATCGATACCATAAAGATATTTTAAATTGCATTTGTTCTTTGTGCAGGTTCTCCGTCAGCCAGCAGCTGGGACAATCTGGAGCTGGCGGACGAAATTATGGACGTCAACGAGACAAAACTCGAGGATATGACCAGGACAGAGGTTCTGGGGCACATACACGAGGTAAGGGGCCATTAAATACAATGATCTGGTGATAAACCTTTAATTGAACCTCTACATTTAGTTCCAAAGTGAATTTAGTCTGTAAATTCTTGTACGAGGTTTGTGCTGAGTTGTCGTCTTGTTAGAGGGTTCAAGCCTTTTTTTTTTTGCAAACGCTATAACGACGTGTTTTTTGTAAGGGTTTCTTTAATTTTTGGTTACCGTAAAGTCTGCCGCAAGTTAATATCCTTTTCTATGCTCTCAATTGTCTGTATGTTAGAGAAAAATCGAAAAATTAGTTATTACAATATAATTCAATTCATTTAAAAACTAAATTAGTTACATAATTATGTCAATCCGCATCGTTGGCTTCGTCCGGAAGACACAAATATAAATCAGCAACAGGCTTCGTCACACAAAAAATAATAATGCAATTCCCCAGACTTAGTCATTTTTATCCAACTATTACAATGAGAAAAGACCGCTCTGAATCTTAGCTGTTTCAAATGTCCAAGCAATACCGCGCTGAATGGTCGACGAAATTTGTTGCACCAAGTAAGATCCAGAGCGTGGATTACAGCCTCTATCTCTAAGCCGACGACCCAACTCCCTGATGAATTCTGAATGAAAAAAATAATTAAATATTACATGTTTCCTTTCTCCCATTATTACTTATTGAATTAATTTAAAATACATAGAAACTAATTAAACTGCAGGTGATACTGGGACTAAAAATAAAAGTTTTCAGCAAGAACTGCGGCTCTATAGACTCCAGTTGTTATTATTAAAATGTTATTTTTTGTTACAGTGCATCTCATCGTGCCTCATCAAACTTCGAGTGAAGCGGCGTAGTGAGACTAAACTATGTAAGTTCTAAACTTTATAAACTATGATAAAAAATATTATTAATACAACTATGGAACACCAAGAATAATTCCTTTGATCTGACAGGACTCGAATCTTCGTCTGAACGCGAAACTAGTGGGTATATTTGGTATAATTATCTATTGTATTAATTATTATTAATTTAATATTTTGTAAACACAGACGCAGAAGTTGCTAAAATGTTTGAAAGTTTTTTTACTGACATTCCAATTTTGACTACTAAGTCGTTAAATTCATCTTCCACCGCCGCTGAATCCTTACTAAAAGGAAATAATGTTACTATCACTAATTTAAGGTTGCGTCATGTATTTCCAAACGATATTGTTAAAGCCTTTAAGTCTATAAACATAAAAAATACTGCTGATCTTGATGGTCTTTCAGTCAGAGTAATTAGTTCTATAATTGATTGTATTGCGCCTTATTTAGCCTGTGTCTTTAATAAATGTGTTGATGATGGTGTCTTTCCTGACCTCATGAAGCAAAGTTATTCCACTTTTCAAATCTGGTAGTATTTCTGACCCCACCAATTTCAGACCTATATCAATACTACCAACTCTCAGTAAAATATTTGAAAAAAATATTCTAAATCAGATGTGTGCACATTTTTATAGTAATAACTTAATGTCTCCTAAACAATTTGGTTTCACTCGGGGTCGCTCTACAACCGATGCTGGTGTCGAGTTGATTAATCATATATTTGACGCATGGGAAGTCTCACATGATGCTATTGGTGTATTCTGTGACCTTTCCAAAGCTTTTGATTGTGTGCACCATGATACACTGTTAGGAAACTTCGCCAATATGGTGTGGCGGGACGTGATCTCGACCTTCTTAAATCGTATTTGCGTGGTAGGGTACAGAGGGTCGATGTTAACGGTACGAGATCGTCAGGATCTGCAATTAGCATGAGTGTCCCTCAAGGTTCAATTCTAGGCCCATTTTTATTTTTAGTTTATATTAATGACTTACCTAGCCTTATGGAGGGTATAAAACTTGAGATAGTATTGTTTGCTGATGATACTTCCTTATTATTTAAAGTTAAAAGGCACCAATGTTCCTACGACGATGTGAACAATGCTATATCTAAAGTAGTTGATTGGTTTGCTGTTAATAACCTACTTCTTAATGAGAAAAAAACAAATTGTGTGAAATTTACATTACCCAATGTTAGAGAGACGGTTACAAACATTGTAGTTAGAAACGAAAAATTAAATCTTGTGGATACAGTTGTATTTCTAGGTATTACGTTAGATGCTAAATTGCAATGGGGTCCCCATATAAGTAAATTATCAAAAAGGCTCGGCTCTGCAGTGTACGCGATTAAAAAAAATAAGGAAACTTTCAGATGTCGAAACCGCTAGATTGGTTTACTTCAGGTACTTTCACAGTCTAATGACATACGGCATTTTGCTTAATAACCCGTTTAGCCGGTAGTATCCCGTTTAGCTCATGGAGGTAGTCTCGATCTCTGATGTTTCAAATAAAAAAAAAATATTGTAAATGTTATTTACAAAGAGCAACCCCTAGAGTTTCTTGCTCATTCTTCTCAGGGGAATCTGCCTTATGAGCGGTAGAGTTTAACCATTGTGACGATTTCAAGTGTAATAATGCTTACCTATGAAATAAAGATTATTTTGAATTTTGAATTTTTGAAATAAAATTATAATTAATTGAATGAATAATTACAACAATGTCAAATGGAGTAATTTCACAAGAATAATTAGATGTATAAAAGTAGTGTAGTTTATATGATAGTAGTATATAAAACATTGACGTTAAAAAAATTAATATGAACAAAAAAATTGTTTTAACAAAATACTAAATAAATAATCAATATTAGACAATTTCACATACGTTGCTCTGAACCCAAAGTAACTAAAGCACTTGTGATAAGGAAGTCGGAAACAACGACGGTACCACAAACACCCAGACCGCGACAATATCGAAAAGTTAGTTTTGTTTACATTGCCTCGGCCGGGGATCGAACCCGAGGCCTCAGAGATGGCGACACTCGACCACAAAGATCATCATATTTTTTTCTTTATAATACCAAGTGATGGGGCGGACAAGTCGCAGTCGCAGACTGTTGCAGTGGCACTGCCACTACGTTCGTCACCCTGAGACATATGCTGTCAATACTAATTTCACCAGCACACTCACCCTTCCAAACCGGAACGCAGTAATGCTCCCATTACTGCTTGGCGGCAGAAATAGGTTAGGTGGCATTCCCTGTACGAACTTTTCACAAGGTGCTCTACTGCTATTAAATTATATATACATATTTAATAATGAAATGCCGTGTTAAGAGACTGGATTGTTATTTTATGGTTATCTCTGTAAGTCATACGTGAGCTTTCTCACGTCATCATCACTTCATCCTTGGGTCGACTTTTAAGCCTCGTTTCTGTTAGTTCAGTAGTCCTGAGTTCACACTTGATGGTACACCACCAGACAAGCAGAAGGATTCCTTTTGTATCGTTTCTATTTCCCCATGAAAAAGTTCATTCACTCCCAACTCGGATTTACTTAAAATAATTAATTATCTAATAAAATATATAAATATATAAGAGATAGGATCCCAAACTTGATAAACTCTACGACCTTAGAGGTTGGAAAAAAAGGAAACCTCCTCGAAAAAGTACAGACAGGAAACAAAACACAAAAATTTGATTTAAAAAAAAGCAATAAGTTTTTTCCTATTTGGCTTATGTTAATCACAAACAGGAAACGAATATTTTTATTATTATTTAGAAGTTATAAAAATTTAAAAAAGACAATAAAGTTACTTACACTTTCTTACCGCGAAAAGCCATGAGAAATAAGAAGAAAAAGTATACATACACTTAAATATATACAATTAAATATATTAAAACCTTAGTTTAAAAATGTAAATAATTAATATACTGTCCTAAACAAAGGACCAATCCAAAGATTATCGATTTAAATGAAACAGAAAGAGTTTCGAAAATCGATAAGTGGATACAAAGTGACACTGTCCCTTGAACATTTTATAAACAAAAGTCTTGAAGAATATTATTTTTATAAGATACCAAGAGATGGGACAAACATATCGTGAGGTAGTGGTACGCTACAGGCCTGTCCATAACAGTTGCAGTGCCACTCAGAGCTTTAAATAGTAAAGTTGTTAGGGGCACTGCCACTGAGCCCATCACCCTGAGACATTAGCTGACAAGTTCCATGTGCCTGTAATTTCACCAGCACCATCACCCTTCCAAACCGGAACGCAGTAATGCTGACATTACTGCTGTAAGGTGGCAGTACTTCCCTGGACATACTCTTTGAAGGAAATTTGTTGCTTTTTATTTCGATTTTTGTTTTATATCGCGAAGGTAATTTAGACATAAATTAATATTCGACGAGGATAGTAACTATGCGACTGCGCGCCCGAAACGAAATGACATAACAAAACCCATATTTTTAATAATAAAGGTGACTATGCAATGTGAGCGCGAGGTGCGGGGTCGCGGTAATGCAATTACACTTACTTTATTGGATTACGATACTAGCGGCTCCAAAAACAAACATCATTTTACCGTTCGACAACACCGTTCCCTTACAACAATACTTTAAATACGTAAATTCTAACTGCATTGTTGTCATCGTCTACGTCAGCAAGGAATTCTTCGAATACTTTGTCCAGTTGAAACAGGCTGTGTCGTTTTCAATGTGACAGAGTTCTAAACATAGTTAAGTGTATTGTTGAGTTGGAACTGTGTCGCATATAAATGAGCAATGTTCGTAATTTTCGCTTGCCGCTCTCGCTCGGACGAGGCTTTAAGGTTATAATTCCGTGGTGTTGCTAGCTTTAATGACTTCCTTTGTAGTTGGAATATGAAAACCAGTTTTCATTATGTGCCATGTAGTGAACCGGTGTATCGGCGATGAGTTTCTGGAGACAGTCGTCGCAAGCGATTTTCGATACTTCTCACGTAAGTTATTGTAAGTCAAAATATCATTTTTTACTTTTTCATATAAATATATCCTTTTTTATGTATATTATAAGTTCCATATTTAAATTTAAAGAAATCTCTTGCTATGTTTACTTTCTAACATGGAACTTATAATATACATTAAAAAAAATACATGTTTAAGTTAAAAAGCAAAAAATGGTATTTTGACTTACGACAACTTATCGGTAGGGTACGGTGTCGTTTTGTAAAATATATATTTGTGTGTACAGTTTGACATAAAAAAACTGTGAATAATTTTACATCGTTACTACCCACATATCACTGTAACCTCATGGAAATAACTTTTTAATTTTCCAATTCAAATTAATATGCAAATTTTAACAGCAGTAGAGCTCTTTGTAAAAGAGTTCGTCCAGGGAAGTACTGCCACCAAGCAATAATGTGAGCATTAACTTGTCAACTTATGTCTCAGGGTGACGGGCGCAGTGGCAGTGCCCTTCAGATCTTTCCGATTTATAGCTCTGATTGGCGCTGCAACTGTTATGGACAGGCGCCCAGCTTACCATCAGGCGCACGACTCGTTCGTCCTGTTTGTTACTTGATATTATATTTTTTTTTTTTAATTTTTGGCATGACTTAAGACATCGTTTTATTTATTCAGACAATTAGATCGACGATCGTATTTGTCAATGGGCTGTGTAATAGAGATGCCACGTATTCTGGTAATGATACTATATAATCTGAAGGTCGGTGGAGGAAGTTGGTTTAAAGAACATATCTTTTTATTCCACTTGAAATCTTATAAGTCTCGTAAATTTCTCAATTCATTTATCACAGTAGAATTCAATAGTAATAAGTATGTGTGATCGTCCTGATTTATATTTGACTAATAAAAAAATTCTATTATACTGTAAAAACACAAACAAAACAAACAAAACTTTAAATTTCATTTGGTAATGAAATTCAAAGTTTTTTTTTAAAGTACGTTCAGTTGTACTCTCACTCTATACGACTTTAATTTTTTTTTTAAATTTAATTCAATAACAATA